CTCCCTCCGTGGTGGAGACGTGTCCTCCCTGGCTTGGAAAGGTCATGATTAGTCCTGAGCCAGTGATTGACATGAGATTGTTCATAAATATTTTGTGCTCTGAGTGATAAAATATTAAACTCCTCCAGCCCACATGGAAAAATATTGCTCTTCCCAGTGTTTATCTTTGTTGCCGGTTATTACAAAACTGCCAAGCCCCCTGAAATATTTATGCCTGGCTGAGCCAGTGCCGGGGCACGTGTGAGGCTGGTGCCAGGTCCTGTCTGCCAGGGGAGAAGCGGGACCTTGGCAGTGCCAGCATCCTTTGGCTTGGCATGGGATGTCTCCAGCCCTCCCCGGTTCTATGCCCCCCTGACCAGCAGTGCCAAGGTCCCCCAGCCCAGGCACTTTCTTCTCCTTGGTGCCCTGCTCCATCTGTCCTAACGGGCTTGGAAGGAGATGGGCTGGCAGGTGCCATGGGTGCCCAGGACAGACCTTGGAGGTCCTGGGTTATGTGTCGTGTCACCCCCGCCCCAAATCAGCTCTGCTGTGGGAGAGGGAGTGGGGACAGAGTGGGTCTGACTCTTGCTGCAGTGCCCTAACCCACAGCAGCTGGCAGTGGGGAAACTGAGGCACCAGGCGGTGAGGCGGTTCCTTGGGGTGCTGCCCCAGAGGCACCCCTGGCCTCTGCCCATCCCTGCAGGTCCTGTGTCATCTCCCATCCCATTCCTGTCCCTGAGCTCTCTGGGACAGCCAGGCTGCCAGCACGGGGCTGATGGGGGCACACAGCGAGATCCTGGGCAGCCAAATGGCTCCAGAAAGAGTTTGGGCAAGCGGTGGAGATCTGCAACTCTAAATCCAGCTGCTGCCCCTGCCTTCGGAGGAGACATCTCAGGGAGCATTGTCCGAAGCCTTCCCCCAGCTTGGTGCTTGGGCCAATGGTGAGTGCTGGGGGCTGCCTGGAGTGCAGGGTCAGCGGGGTGGTACCAGTCCCCTGGATGTCCCCCAAGTGCTTGAGCAGCAGGGGGTAGGCTGAGTGGGGGGGCTGTGCTGGGCAAGGGGGGTAGAAAAGACCCCCCAGGGGCACCAGGTTGTGGCTGTGGAGCTGTAGCCGAGGGCAGGTCCCCTCTCTCTGGGCTGGGACTGAGACAGGGGCTTTTTTGGGGGGGGAGAACAGGTGCTGAGCTGTGTCCTGCTGGGTCTGCCAGGGGATCTGGTCCTGCCTTCCATGGCTGTGTCCTGACCCTGCCCAGCCTGGATCCGGCCATCCCTTACCTGCATCTGGCTGTGTCCTGCCTGTGTCCTGCCTTCCCTGGCCACGTCCTGCTCCGTCTGGCTGTGTCCTAACCTGGGTCCTGCCTTCCCTGGCCATGTCCTGCCAGGTCTGCCTGTGTCCTGGTTGTGTCCTGCCCGGATCTGGCTGTGTCCTGCCTGTGTCCTGCCTTCCCTGGCCATGTCCTGCCTGGTCTGCCTGTGTCCTGGTTGTGTCCTGCCCGGATCTGGCTGTGTCCTGCCTGTGTCCTGCCTTCCCTGGCCATGTCCTACTGGATCTGGCTGTGTCCTACCTGTGTCCTGCCTTCCCTGGTGATGTCCTACTGGATCTGGCCATGTCCTACCTGTGTCCTGCCGTGTCTGGCTGTGTCCTGCCTGTGTCCTACCTGGATCTGCCCATGTCCTGCCCGTGTCCTGCCAGTGCCCGGGCTCGGTGTCACCATGCCTGTGCCCTGCCTGGATCCAGCCATGTGTCCCCCCCCCCCCCCCCGTTTTGCC